TTTGCATTCCTTGTTTGTAATCCACAGGGGAAGAAATGGATCACTGGATTTTGTATTTCTAATATGGGGACAAATTGCTGTTCCATATAAAATCTTTTCTCTGTGTTTCCTTATTTATTGGGGTGGTAATAACAACTGAAGTTGAAAGGCAAATGCTGGATTTAGAGCTGTGTTTGAAAATGCAAAACTTTATTTTTGTTACTGACTTTCAACTGCTGCAGTTTGTATTAAAGCTCCATGGATACAGCAGCAAGGGCAAGTTATGCACATGTTTTATTAAGGGCATTACAGGGCTTGTCCTGAAGCTGTGCCATGCTTTTAAGCAATATGTCCTTTTGGGGAGCTCTTCCCATCCCACTAACAATTAACTGCAGCTGGTTCTAAATCTTATTTGTGAGAAGCAGTGTAATGGTAGGTGTTTTTTCATGAGTAAAACCTGGGGAGATTTTGAAAGGTAAAAATCCTTACCAGTGTTTCTGCATCCACTGGCATTCATATGGATGCTAAGTTAGTATTGTTCTTAAGAGACTTGGGATGTTTTAAAGGAATATTTAAGGTACCTAATCAGTCCAGTTGAAGAAGATTGTAAATTGGAGGTAATTTTAGTAATATATCACTTAGTATTGATTAAATGTTTGAAGCTAGAGAACTCAGGCTAACATCAGAGTTGAAGTTGGTGCCTAAGGCTTGTAAACACTATAATGAAGTAAAACATTTCCTCCTTTGGGATCTCATTGCAGTGCTCAGCCATGAATTTTCTGCAGTTCGGAAAAAACAACAAGAAAAAAACAACCCCCAGCCTTATGATCTCTTTGTCTTTAGTTTCTATCATTTTTTAAGCCATGTTTTAAGTCTCCTGCAGTGCTACTGAGACTTCTGTGCATTTTATTTTAAGTAGAATGTCTTTAGACCATACCTCAGCATACTGGAAGCAGGAGACCTAGTTAGTAATCCAAATTAAAGAAATTATTTTTTTTACTTCTAGTGCTTTCTTTGAAGAGCAGTCATTGTAATACATTTGAAGGGTTGTGAAATTATGTGTTGATGGAAGATGGATATGGCATATTTTGAAGTCTCTGAACATTTAGGTCACTAAATATATTAGCACAGCTTGGGAGCATGGGCAGTGTAATCTACTTTGTGTTGCCTGTGGTGCAGTTCTTCTCCTAGGCTCAAGCAACATACTTTGACAGTACAAGGACAAGAAAATTTTACTGCTCCTTAATATTGGAACTCTTAAATTGTCTTATGACATCCAGTGCTCAGTTTCACCTTAGATTTTTCAATATTCTTTTAAATTGGTCCCCAGGGAAGCTGTGGTTGTAAAACCCAAACAGATTGCTGAGGACTGTGAAGTTTCAACATGCTGTAAGGTTTCTTCCACCTAATGAATATAGAGTATTCTCTTTTCTCATGAGGATAAAAAAATCTTTTAATCTCTATACACATTTTAATATAATGAATATGTAAATGGTAAAGCTAGAATCTAACTGAATATTTGGTGGAACATTAGACGTAAGTAAGCAGATATGAGTGTTGCTAGACTGACAGTTCATTAGCAATGTTAAGCTCTTTAGAGTGTCTCTGCTTCTATCCTTATATGTGTGTCAAATGCTCTGAAATTCTAAGCTAGGAATTAAAGATCCATCTGTGTGGATGTTCGCAGCTTAATGATGTTGATCTCTAGATGAGAATAATGGCCCAGAAAAGTGAAGTATCATATTTCTGGCTCTCAGGAACAAGAGCAGAAGGCTGAAGA